GCACGCATGCGCATGTGTGTGTGTGTGTACACACATATGTCACTGAGCATTTCACAGTCTTCCAAGGGCTTTGGAAGGAGAATGAGAACCCTTGGTATAGCCTGGAAAATTTATGGTTGCCCCCTTAAGTTCACAAGTAATTATTGAGTCCTACAGCAAGGCAGGAGATGTTAATATTGGTAGTAAAAGACCTTTGGTATTAACACTCTTAAAAAACAAAACAAAACTATGATTCTCCTTTTCTGACATCCTCAAATATAATTTTTTGCCTCCTGTATATTTCTATTGTTGGTTTGGAAAAAAGGGACTGATAAGTGTGCTGTATTTTATCTTTTTAATTATTAGACAGGTTTGATTCAATTAATGCATTTATATATGGTCTGAAAAGCTTTGGAGTTTAGGTACTATGTGGTGTTGGGAATAATTTCAAAAGGTGAATAAGGTCTTTTCTTGGTGAAAATTTAAATGCATTTATTTCCCCAGAGAGAAATTGTTATCTAGAATTTCCCAGGGGAAATTCTTTTTGGTTGAATAGCTTGAAGGCATTAATGTACTTACCTGTGTGTATACTTTGGCTGCTCTTGTGTTTGTGCTTATAGATTTCTGGATTTCTCTGTAGGAGTCTGTGTGTACTTTGGATGCTTTTGTGTTTGCTCACATGGATATCTGAGTTTTTCCATAGCAACACTTAAAAAATAATTTTTTTTCTGAGTTGTAGACAAGTTAAATTATCCTGACCTGGAGTGTATCATACTTACTGAAATTCTTGAAGTCCTTAGGGAATGAAAATATTAGAAAAAGAAAAAGAATTTAAGTGATTTAATTTTCATAAAATGCTAATTTGTGTTACTACCATAGTTCAGTAACTAGTACAGATGTGTTCTATAACAGGCTTATTTTGTGTGCATGTAAAGAAATTTGTACCTTATTTATTGAACCCTGAATCTTTAGAATCCAGACAATGCTTTCTTTTCACAAGAGATTCTCAATAAATCTTAGATAAAGGGAATATAAATAGATAGAGTAAAGGGATAAAAATGGAATAAAGCCACCAGCAATGCAAAGATATTATTTATTTTAATAATTTCTGATAGCATGGCACAAAGAATTAAACTTATTAGTGCCTTTTAATTTTTATAAACATTGAGGATGTTGTAGGTCCCAACATTTTTCTTTTACCTGTGTTTTATAATTTTAATATATTTATAATACTATTAAGTGACTGAGACAAGTTCTGGAAGTTTCTTGATGACAAAAGTTGTTTCTTTTCTATATTGCCCTCTTTAGGCAGGTAAAAGTGATACTGGCTTTGAGCTTTCTGCTTCATTCACATTTGGGTTTAAAAATTGTATAGTTTTCACTTTCTAAGGGAAATGGCTTGTTGTGGGACTACAAATTCTTAAAAATACACTAAATTTTCATGGACGGAACATTTTAATTTGATGGCTAAAATGCTGACTTCAAAGTTTAGCTTTTGAGATGATTAGAACTCTTGTAACTGTAAGTGCAGTTTATATCATGACTGCTTCCTTGGATGGCTACTTCTAAGTTCGGTGGCCTGATTTTTGCCTTTAATATCTTTAATATTTAGAGGAAGTAGTTTGTGATTTTTTTTAAATAAAGAAAGTTTTTAAAAAATTTGTTATCTAAGGTCCTTATAATGTCTGTGGCAAGAAGGAGGTCAGAAGGAAATGCAGTATAATGTAATAAAGAATCAAAATGAACAGTTCACATATGCTGGTGTTTGTTCATTTTACTTGTGCAAGAGTGCTGGTCATGTCAGAGGTATTTTGAAACGGTTGGTTCAGTAATTTGGCCTACTGTCTTTTTTTTTTTTTCTATAACAGTTTTTCTGTTTTCTACTACACCTTGCACATCCACCAATCCAAGACACCCTATAGGTGAGTATTTTTCTAGTTCTCAAATGGCATCACTTGTTCCCAAGCCAGTTGCAGCTTCATTGAAACTAGGCTATATTTTTCTACTCTGAATTATCTAGTATTTGATTTCACAGAGTGTATTTTACTCCACACTTTAAAAGTTACCAGCAAACTGCTCAAGAGCTGTTTTTATGTTGCAGAAAAAAATCATACTAGGATTAAACTTTTTTTTTTCCTATTGCTTATATGCTAAGAATTTTTAAATGCTATTCTCAAACTCTGTTCTTTTTGAATTTTTATTACAAAATGGGAATTAGAACAGACTGGTTATAGATCTAAAGAAAATATAAAAGTTTATTTTAATATTCTGAGATGACATAGAACAAGGAATTAAAAAGAAAGCTTGTTTTAATAGTGCTTTTTAGTATTTCTAGAAATTAAGGATGGTTTTCCTCTAAAGGCTTAGGAGAAAAATTACAAAAATATTTCATAGATGTTGGTATTTCATGTAGTTAGGTTAATTCTCAATTCATGTAATTATACACTCATAGATCAGAAAGGCGAAGCCTTTTTATTTTTCCATGTTCATCTTAGACTTGCCTGATTTTTTTTCCCCAGTAAGTTTTCAAATATAGTTTAAATTTTTTTTTGTCAAGAAGGACATTTTCCTAAAAGCTTTGGAAGTAAAAAGCCTCCAGATTTTTTTTATTGGACTAGTAGGATGTCACGTTCAATTTGTTGATTTTGAGAAGATGAGATGAAAATAAGAAATTTTTTGGAAATGTGGAAAAATTTCTAAATTTTTAAATGGGGTCAATACGCTATCATGTTCAATTTGAGTTCAATATCATGTTAATTTTGAGACAATTGGAGGAAAAAAAGAAATACAAAAAAACAAACCTCACCTCTTAGAGCTGGTGATGATTGTATGTAGTTCACCCTTGCACATACAGTTAAGATACCTGTAGTTAACCTCTGACTCTGTCAAATTATTATCACTTAACCTTCTGTTGCTTTGCTCATCCTCTTTGATATTTTTTAATGGCTAGATGTTCTCAGCACATGTTCCTGGAAAATCTAACCTAGAAGTACTAAAATCAAAGGCAAAATTTTGTTTTTTTTAAAGGCATGTTTTCCTGTCTTCTCTCATACCCTGGGCATGTATGTGGTAGCTTGCATGGCCGAATTAAGTGATTGGCTTTGTGAGGTTTCTTAGTAACCTATAGTTGGTTAGTCTTTCATATGATCACCTTTCTTTCTTTGCTGACTATCTCTTGTTTTACCAGCACAGAGTGGGGAACTGTAAAGTGACAAAAGGAGTTGGTCACTGTCTTCCATGTAACCATGCCTGATTTGGGTGGCATGTAATTTTTTTTTTTTTTTAAATAAATGCCTCAGTTGCCTTTGTGCTTCTGCATGGTTCTTTCCTTTTGCCAATATTTATGCTTGTTTTTCTCTTATGAATTTTCTACAAGAACTTTGGAAAAAAATAATCCTTGGATTTCCAAGATCCAGGATAGGAGGGTACGTGTTTGCAGAAAAGGTCAAAATTTGAGAGTCCTGAAGGAGTTGTACTGTACAACTGTTCTGGATTGGTGGATATGCAAATATTAAGGAAGGGAAGGAGCAAATATTACTTTTGATGTGAGTGATCATAACATCTACATTTTTTCCAATTACTATTTGAGCCTCTTTCAACTGGTTTATTATTCAATTGGCAGTATCTTTTATTTTACACAGAAGGTTGAAAGCTGTATAAAATACACTATTTAAGAAATGTATGTAAGTGGTAAGCTTACTCATTAAAGAAAAATAATAGTTTTGATTCTTAGGATAGTTTCTGATAATCCCAATAATTTTAAATATTAAATTCTTCTTTCTTTTTTTTTTTTTTTTTTTGGAGATGGAGTTTCACTGTCTCCCAGGCTAGAGTGCAGTGGTGCGATCTCGGCTCACTGTGACCTCCGCCTCCTGGGTTCAAGCGATTCTCCTGCCTCAGCCTCCTGAGTAGCTGGGACTACAGGTGTGTGCCACCACACCTGGCTAATTTTTGGATTTTTAGTAGAGATGGAATTTCACCATGTTGGACAGGCTGGTCTTGAACTCCTGACCTCAAGTGATCTGCCTGTCTCAGCCTCCCAAAGTGCTGGGATTACAGGTGTGAGCCACAGTGCCCAGCTTAGTTCTTATTTCTGTATCTTGTATATTACATAGGCTAATTGAAATGTGTTAAAAATAAGGGAAAATAAGTAGAGCATTTTAGGAATAGAATTCTCAAAATGGAAGAAAGATTTTTATAATTCAACTTGTTAAAGATAATGAGAAATGTCCTATTAACATGTCAGAATTTGTTGGTGTGATATTAAACTGTCGACTTAATAAGTAAGGGGCATTAATTCAGCTTGGCAGCTTACTAATAGCCAACCTGGTCCCTACTGGTTGTGTTGGTAGAGCGTGATTGAAACTATGGTTAAGACTCTTTAACACCTGGGGAAAACTTCATTTTGTATTTTCCAACAATGGAAGTGTCTCAGAGCTCTTTGCTAATCATTTGCTCTTTAGGTAAGTTAGAGTATTTTGTGACTATTTTATAAAATATTGAACTAAGATAATGGGAGGAGGTGAATGACTGGTTCAGCAGGTAGTTCATTAATTTTAAGCTCTAGGGTGGTACATCTTGGTTAAAATGATTAATTTATATATTGTATGATTTTAGTCAAGGTGCTCAAAAACGTAAGCTGTGTTGTTATTCTTTGTGTAAAGTTTATGGATATCGCATGAGTGCCATAGGTGTATATTTATCTCTTTATTTGCAGCATATTTTACAGTGGTATTTTGCTTTATTATCTTTACATGCTAGATAAGTGGAACAATTTGATACCTTCCACTGTTAATATATACTGAATAAGAATAATTAAAGGGCAAAACGTACTTTTTTTTTGTGGAGCAAGGGTAGACTGAAGCTGTGTAAGGCTTGTGTATCATTTCTTGAACTTAAATTTTGAGGCTGAAACTAATGACTGTAATAGGCCTGACACATTTCATATATTTGGAGATTACTGGGTAGACTTTAGAATAATCAATTTGAGTTGTTTAATGCTGGTTTTTTTCCTTAATCAGATTTTTCGTGAAGCTCGAAGAACAGTACCTAGTATTGTTTACATGCCTCACATTGGAGATTGGTGGGAAGCTGTCAGTGAAACTGTGAGAGCAACTTTTCTGACATTGCTACAAGATATACCATCATTTTCACCTATATTTTTATTGTCTACCTCTGAAACCATGTACAGTGAACTGCCTGAAGAGGTAAGAACTGATTAAGTATTTATCTTTCCTTATTGTTCTAAAATAGTTGACCCTGTAAATTGGATACCTTTTAATTATTATAAAATCAATACTGTCAGGGTTTATATCCTGGGTGTAACTGCCTATTAGCTGTGTGATGTAGGAAAATTATTTATTGTTTTAAGTTTTAGTTTCTTTTTGGGTATAGTGGTATTCCACAGTGTTGTTATAAAGATTGAGATAATTTATGCTTAGAACAGAACCTGACATGTATATATACAGATTCAGCATCTCTAAAAAATTCAAAACCTGAAACTTCTTTGAGTACTGACATGAAGCCGCAAATGGAAAATTTGACACCTGACCTCACTCGATGGGTTGCAGTCAAAACTTTGTTTCATGCACAAAATTATTAAAAATGTATAAAATTACCTTCAGGTTATATGTGTAAGGTTTTTATGAAACTTAAATGAATTTTGTTGAGACTTGGGTCCCATCCCCAAGATAATCTCATTATATATGTGCATATATTTTAAAATCTGAAAACGTTTGAAATCTGAAACACATCTAGTCTCAAGCATTTTGGAAAAGGGTTACTTAGCTTTCTAAGACAATTGTGGCTATATCACTATCAGTTATATCCTTCTCATCCTTATCATCTGTGAGGTCATTTGATGAGATTTAACCTTTCAGCTCTTTCATTGATAGCATCATGTTAACTTGAATGTTATTTCTAATATGCGTATTTTTCAAATCAGAAATCTAACTTTGAGTTCATATCTAAGGTAAAATCACAGTCGATTCAGAAAAAATTAGTAGATCATCTTACTTGAGTGAAATTGATTTTTTAAAAATTGTTTTAATACCCCGAGCTTACGAGGTCTTGAAATACTCTCCTTTAGAAATGCTTAGAAATATTTTTCCCAGGAGACAAAGTAGGAATGATGTTTATATGAAAGATTTACATGTTTTAAATGCTATAATATAAATCTTGATTATTTAGAATTTTATGATTAAAGTTTTTGTTTACTGAGTTCTTTTATGTTTCAGCTTTCATTATCTTGCTAAAATAGATTTGTATAATTTACTGCTTTTTGTAAGGAAAATACATTAAATGTAGAGTAATTCATTTTTGATTATTCAGTATCTGATGGTATATGAAGACCACTAATCAAAATGTTTGTGATAGAGTCCAATAAAGTTTAACAGAATGCTGTATGTAGCAAGAGTTAGAAAAACCAGGGTATTGACTTACTAGTCTTTTGATCTTAGATAAGTACTTAACCTATAATTGCTTCTTTTTCATCTATGACACGTGGATAATAACAGACAGGGTCATTGGTGTGAGACAGTATATGTGAATTTCTTTTGAAATTATGGAGCTGTTAAATGTTTGGTATTAGTATTATAAAATAGGAATGCAGCTGAAGTTGATTTAGAAGAATGGCCTGAACCTGGATATAACCTAGGAGCCACTTTACAAGTTAGATCCTCTTTCTCAGTTTTATTATAATTTTATGAAAAGAAAGAAAAGAGTTAAAATGTGGGATAAATAAGGATTCTAGTTGGGAATATATAGGGAATATTCCCTGAAAATTTCCCTCTATATTGGTTGAAAAATTTTTAAGTAAATGTTTTATGAGTCTGGCTTCTTGATAAGCAGTTTTTATGTTGCCTACTTCTGTTGCCCATATGCAAGTGTAATTTTACTGTTGGTTTAGTATTTTAAAGCTAACATTATATCATATACATTTTCAATGTTATACTGTTGTCATAACTTTTAATGGATTCAGAAAGCCTACTAACTAGTAAACTTTTTCAGTATTTATTTACCAATACCCTTAATTACTATCTAAAATAGTAGAAATTTGCCAGCATTGAATTCTGAAATTTCAGCTCCTTTCCCTCTCGCTTTTGTCTTTATAAGTAGTTATTAAAGCTATCATGAATATCATATTTGTGGGCTGAAGATTATGGGAATTCTCTTTTAATTATATAACATGTTTTATACTAATAGCTTGTAGGAAATTCTCCTCTGTTCCCAAGTCTTACATTTTATTTTATTTGTTTACTTATTTTTGTAGAGACGAAGTCTCATTATGTTGCCCAGGCTGGTCTTGACTCCTGGTCTCAAGCGATCCTCCTGCCTCAGCCTCCCAAAATGCTGGGATTATAGGTGTGAGCCACCATGTCCAGCTAAGCCTTTCATTTTAATTTCAAGTCTACCATTAGAATGCTTGCTTTCTTTTTTCTTTTTTCTTTTTTTTGAGACGGAGTCTCACTTAGCCGCCCAGGCTTGAGTGCAGTGGCATGATCTTGGCTCACTGCAACCACCGTCTCCCAGGTTCAAGCGTTTCTCCTGTCTCAGCCTCCCGGGTAGCTGGGATTACAGACACCTGCCATCATACCCAGCTAATTTTTGTATTTTGGTAGAGACGGGGTTTCACCACGTTGGCTAGACTGAACTCCTGACCTCAGGTGGTCTTGAACTCCTGACCTCAGGTGATCTGCCCATCTTGGCCTCCCAAAGTACTAGGATTACAGGCATGAGCCACTGCACCTAGCCTGCTTGCTTTCTTTCGGTCACAAGCTAAGATAGTAGTCTCTAATATTTAGCACATATTGATAAATATTTGGTGAATGAATGAGCAGCACAGAGAGTTGTAGACCAAGTAGCTGTAGGTTAGCAAGTTGCCAGATCTATGGAAGAAATGAGGTAGAGAGTGGGCAGTACAAAACCAATTCTCAGAGAAAAAAATAGCCTATTACCACAGTTGTGCTACTGTACTCCAGCCTGGGCAGCAGAGTGAGGCCCTGTCTCAAAAAACAAAAGAAAATTTAATGTCATGAAAATATGTTTAAATGTATTGTTTTAAAAAATGCAGGTAATAAATCAATATGTATGGTATTATTCCAGTTTATAAATATACAACTGGAAGGATATACATAGAAATGTTAATAGTAATTATCTGTGGATATAAAGGTTGTAGTCATTTTAGTTTTTTATTGTCTTATTTTCTATATCTTCCATAATAAATACCATTATAATCAGAAAATAAACCCCATTATTCACAGATGAAGGAGAAAGGAGGTTTCCCTACCTTATTTTTAAAATAGAAGAAAACTCCAAAATAATTAGTCCTTCCATGATTTGTGTCTTATTAGTGGGACAAAATGACAAGTTCATCTTTTAGAACCTCTTTGACATTCTCTTGCGTCTCTTTGTATGTATCTGTCTCTCGTAGTTCAATAGTCCCCACAATGAGTTTGTACTCAGTGCGTTAGTATCCTGGGAAAAACATGAGCATTTCTGTTCATTTTTATTTTTTGTATTAAATATTTCATGTGTATATGGTTTGTAATAAATAATACTATAAACCATATACACAAAAAATATACCGTACTCTTAAATATATACTGTTTTGCTAATAGTATATTTAATAATAGTATAGCAAAATAGTATATTTAATAGTACGGTATATTTCATGTGTATATGGTTTATAATATATTATTTCCGAGTAGTATATTAGCAAAATAGTATATTTAAATAAATATGCATATAGTGATGGGAATATTTTCAGATTTTTTACTGATGAGGTGTTTGATCAAGAAATGTCAGAAATCATTGCACCAGACCAGCTGTTATCAAAGTGTGGTCCAAGGACCCCTGAGGAGTCCCCAAGACTTTTGCAGGGGATTATCAAGTTTCATTTCCAACTACATATCTGCTGAGTCTGGGTTTTCATCATATACTTCAGTCAAACAACATATTGTAACAGATTGAGTACAGAAGCAGAAATGAGAATCCAGTGGTCTTCCATTAAGCCAGACACAAAAGAGAATTGAAAACATTTAAAGCAGTGCTGGCTGGGTGTGGTGGCTCATGCCTGTAATCCCAGCACTTTGAAAGGCTGAGGCAAGCGGATCACTTGAGCCTAGGAGTACAAGACCAGCCTAGGCAACATGGCGAAACACCCATCTCTACAAAAAATACAAAGATCAGTTAGGTATGGTGGCGCGTGCCTGTAGTCCCAGCTATTCAGGAAGCTGAGGTGGGAGGATCGCTTAAGCCTGGGAGGTGGAGGATGCAGTGAGCCAAGACTGCACCACTGCACTCCAGCCTGGGTGGCAGAGTGAGACTCTGTCTCCAAAAAGTAAGATTAAACAGTGCCACTTTTCTCACTAAATTTTGTTTTATATTTTATGTGTTTTATGTTCTCTCTATATTTTGGAAAAACATATTTTTCAAAATAATGTATGTTTTATTCTTTTAATGTTAATATGTAATGGGTTTATTTAAAATATGTAAACATTGATGCATATAGCTCACATACATAAAAGCTTTTTTGGGGTCCTGAGACCAAAACTTTGTGAACCTCTGGTCTCTAGACCACTAGCTCTTTCAGGTGTTACTACCCATCACTTCTCCCATTCCTAGCACAGTGCTAACACATGGGAATTACTCAGTAAAAGTTTACTGCATGAAAAAAGGAACTAACAGTTGAATCATCACATAGAATTCAAGTAACCCTTGCCCAGCCTCACTCCCTTTCTGCAGGATTCTTTTTCTTTTAAAATATTTTTTCTTTAAATTTTTGACCACTTGAGAACCATGCAGAATTGTAGTGTAAGTAAATTTACTTTTATAAACCCTTTCTGAAGATACTTGGAGAATTTTAGTTGAGATATATGGGAATTGCAAGATATTTATGGAGAATTAGAGAAGAGAGCTAATTTAAGGTTGAGCACAGAAAAAAGACTCTTAAGGGAGGAAGCAGATAAAGTAGAGATATTTGTAGGAAGGATTATAAACCTTGGCCAGAATTGTACTTCTGTTTCTGAAAACATTCACAGTATCTGCTTTGTTATTAAATTATTATGAGCAAGTTTCAGATTATATAATTCAGTATATTGGAAATTAATTTTATTTAAAGAAATATTCCTCAACTCTGCTGATGAAAATAAGATTACATATAGCATTTTGTCAACTTGTTTCATGTAGTTGTGTCTTTAGGTTTATGGTAGGACCTGGGAGAGGAAAATCAGTAACTTCAAGTAGAAAAATCAAGTAAGGGTGTTGAAAACTCAGATTAGGCTGGGCGTGGTGGCTCATGCCTGTTATTCCAGCACTTTGGGAGGCCAAGGCAGGCAGATCACGAGGTCAGGAGATCGAGACCATCCTGGCCAACACTGTGAAATCCTGTCTCTACTACAAATACAAAAATTAGCCGGGCGTGGTGGTGGGCGCCTGTAGTCCCAGCTACTCAGGAGGCTGAGGCAGGGGAATGGCGGGAACCCAGGAGGTGGAGACTTGCAGTGAGCCGAAATCGCGCCACTGTACTCCAGCCTGGGCGACATAGCAAGACTCAGTCTCAAAAAAAAAAAAAAGATGGCTATTATTAAAAAAACAGAAATTAACAAATGTTGATGAGGATATGGAAAAATGGGAGCCTTTTTGCATTGCTGGTGGGAATGTAAAATTGTATAGCCACTGTGGAAAACAGTATGACATTATCTTAAATATATAATTGCCATATGATCCAGCAAATCAAGTTCTAGGCATTTACTCAAAAGAATCGAAAGCAGGACTCGAACAGGTATTTGTACACCATGTTCACAATAGCATCATTCACAGTAACCAAAAGGTGGAAACATCCTCAGTGTCCATCGATAGTTGAAAGGATAAACAAAATGTAGCATATACAATGGAACATTATTTAGCCTTAAAAAGAAGGAAATTTTGATGCATGTTGCAACATGGATGAAGCTTGAAGACATTAGGCTAAATTAGTCATAGGACAAATTTTGTATAATTCCTTTTATATGAGGTTCCTTAGAGTATGTGTAAATGGATGATAAGCATATGAAAAGATGCTCATTATCAGTCATTCAGGAATGAAATACCACTGCAACCTACTAAAGTGTAGGTTGGGGCAAGAGTTTTTTGCCATTAAAAGCTGCAAAAAAAAAAAAAAAAAGTGCTTTTACACCAACCTAATAGCTATAATCAAAAATACACAATACCAAGTATTGGATAGGATATAGAAGCTGGAGTCCTTATATACTGCTGGTGGGATTGTAAATGGTGCATCCACTTTCCAAAGTTAAACATAAATTTATGGTTTGACTCAGCAATTCCACTCCTAGTTATCTACACAAAAGAAATGAAAACATACGTTCACAGAAAGACATTTGTATGGGAATGTTTCTAGTTGTTGTACTAATTCTAGTAAAAAGTGGAAGCAATCCAAATGTTCTTTAATTGGTGAATGGCTAAACAAAATGTGATGAAATACTATTCAACAATAAATGGAATGAAATACTAATACATACTACAACTTGGAAAAACCTGAAGTATTAAGTGACAAACGCCAGGCATAAAAGACCAGCAGTTTTATGATACGAAATGTCTAGAAGAGGCAATTCTCTAGAGACAGAAAGCATTATCAGTGGTTGTTAGGCTGGGACATGGGAGTGGGAGTGGGGATTGACTGCAGGTAGGCATGAGGAAACTTTTTGGGGTAATGGAAATGTTCTAAAGTGTGCTTGTGATGGCTGCACAACTGTAAAAATTTACTGAACTTTATTGAACTGTTTTTTCAAGAAAAGTTTATTGATAAATACTGGAAGGTGTGCCTAAGTGCGTCTGGGAAAGTTAGGGAAGGCATCACACAGAAAGCGTCAGCTTGAGTGGTGCATTAAAGAAGGGGTCAGGAATGAGTGAATAGTGTGTATCACAACCAGTGTGAACCAATGTGAAAGACAGCGTGATTTGTTCTGGGAATTATGGAAGACTTGTCTTTGGTACAGCATAAGGTTTGAGGCTAGGACTGTCAGAAGATAAGGTTAGGAGTGAACTTAGAGAAGTATAATTTATCCCACTTATAAAATGTTGGATTCAGAGGTGTTGGTAGTAACCTGGTAAGAATATCCATGGATTATTGTAGGCCTGTCCTTGGTATGCTTTTGTATTCATAAAGTGTTAACATAGTTTTGAAAGTTATCGGAGAGAATAGTTAAAATGAAATGTTTTGCCATTCTTGAACGAAATCATGGTACGTCTAGGATATTAAGTTCTACTTATTTTTCAAGACCCAATTGATGTAAGTGATTTCTGCTACATCTTACCTAGAGTCTTTTCATCCCTTGCAAGGTCTCTTCTCTGTGTTTTGCTACCTCTGTTATAGTACTCCCGGCATAGTATCATAATGCTTTTCTTCTGAGACTCTTAAGATCTGTGACAGCAGAGAACAAACACATTTTCTTTAGTTTTATAACTGCAGTGTCTGGCATGATGTTTGGCATCCAAAATATGTTCAGTAGTAAACTTACTTCCAGAATTTTCAAAGAAAGGCCAGCAAAGCGTAGATTAAAGAGTTGGAGGGAACTGTGCATGAAGGTAGTCTACAAAAGCACTGGCAGGACACAAGGTGAAATTTTATAAACTTAAGTGATTTGACTTTAGGTTGAGATAAATAATTCCCCATCCAGTTTTTGAATTCTGATGTTTACTTTTCATTGTTTCTTCTCTTAGAATTTCAGAGCTGGAAAAGGCATTTAGAGTTTATATAATCTAGTTTTCTTTATTCACTTTATTACCTTAAGCCAATTACTTAAATCTTTCTAAGCCCCAGTTTCCTCATCTGTAAAATGAGGAAATAATACTTACCTCATTGTTATAAAGATTGAATGACATAATATTTATGGAATTTTTAAGGGTTCAGTTCATAGGCTTAATCCAGTAAGTGGTTAGAAATGACAAATTCAATGAATTATTCAAATTTAGACCACAAACGTGTGGCTAAATGGGCAAGAATATGATGTCTTCGATTCTAATCCATATTTTCTCAGTGTCATGGTTGGTATATCTTTCCATACTAGTGACCACCTCCCTTTTTTTATTTGCAGTTTCCAATTTGATTTGGGCTGGGTAACAAAAATCACAAGGTTTACTCTTTCAGTACATGCTTATTAGGCATGCTAAATACCAGGCACTGGGATAGGTGTAGGAAAACAGATGAATAAGAAGTGATCTCTGTTCTCAGGGAGTGTGGTGTCTAGAAGGTAGAAAGTAGACATTCTAGAAAAACCATAAAAATTAAATACAGTGTTTAATGCCGTAGTAGACAAATTTGGATGAGGTAAAGAGGATTTAAACAGCATATCTTGGAAGGTGGACACCTGGGGTCAAAGTCTGAGTAGGTAAACAGAAGAGGTGAGTAATCACCAAGTGGATGGAGCTGAAAGATATGAGAATAATTGGCTTAATCTTTTTGGAGTGTGTCATGGAACATAAACTAGACCAGAGGTATAGTTTATTTGCAGTGGAACCAGGATTCCAGAGATTACAGTGAAGTAGACTTTGTAGGGAAAGAGCACAGGAAGGGAAGTCAATGAATAGGGAATACAAAGAAATATGAGGATAATAGATGGCAGTGTTAACATTCTTCCAGCTCTCTATTATAGATTCTAAGTAATTACTTTTCAGCTCTTATGTAAAAGCCCTTTGAGATTGTTGCCATCTGTTACAACCAGCTATCCTTTTTGCTATTGTCTGATGACTCTTACTCGATATATAGTATCATTCATTAATGACTTGGGCAACTGGACATTCTGCCATTCCTGTTTAGCCCATGAGGTTGAACCCTTCAATGGCATAGCCTAGGACTAGGTTAACTATAACCCCATGTGAATGGTCTATGAATATTGAACATGATACTGGAAGATGAAGACATTGCAATTTGGTATGATATGTAAGCTTTTAATTCTTTATATATTTAATGTCTTTGTGTGTGTGTATATGTGTAGGTTAAATGTATCTTTAGAATACAGTATGAAGAGGTCTTGTATATTCAAAGGCCTATTGAAGAAGACAGAAGAAAATTTTTTCAAGAATTGATTCTCAATCAGGCATCAATGGCTCCACCACGAAGGAAACATGCTGGTAAAGTTTGTAAAGCCTTTAGGAAAATGGGGGGGGATGGAGTTAAGAAATGCCCTTTCTTGGAGTCAGTTTATTTTAGCCCTTTCTTCATGGAAGTGAGGAGAGTTTGTCAGGTTCTGTTTATCTTTAGATGACATGTGGAAGTGTCCATTGTGTTCATCTGACTTGAGATTGGGAAGTATAGCCTTGTTAAAGCTTTACTAAATAGGACTTCTTCTTATGACTTCAACCACTTCCTCTGGTAGATTTCACATTATGGGGCTCAAAAAGTCATAGAAAAAAAGTCTTCAGTTATCCTATGCTTTAGTCACAGTAAGTACCCAGGACTTGAACTGGCAGGTTGTGAACACCAGGTGTTGTGCTCATTCCTTTTTGGGCCATGGTAGATTTGATGGGCTGGTTAGAACATTTGCCATTTCTAGTTTATTTATTGATTGACTTTTCAGAGACTTAGTTAGGACCCATTACATTTAACATTTTATTCTAGCCATTTGAAAATCTATTCTGGCTTTGTTTTAAGTGTTAGATTTTTCTTGGGTTTGGACTCAATAATTTTAGACTCTAGAATTGAGCTTTACGAGGTACCTCAAGAATTTGTCAGATTTCAGTTCCTTGACATAGTAAGGGCTGCATTCTAAGTCATTCGAAAGAGGTTTTATTTTCCTAATCTTAAAGATGCGTAAAGGATAAGATCTACTTGCTTAATCTTTCAGCCTCTTCTAGGAAGTAACAATCCTGTTTGGTAAAAATTTTTAAGCCTCTTTACCCTCGTTCCATCTTTTATGTTTCTTAGAGCTCTTCTTGGAGGATACTCAATACATTCCCCATCCCTGCCAAGTCCTTATTTTTCCATATTCTTTTTGCTTTGTTTTTCACTGGTTATATTATGTAACATTTTAGTAATTTTATTGTTCTTTAATGGCTCCTTTCCAAATTTTATTGGTGTTTTAAAAATGAACACCTATCAAATTGCTGTAGTTTTGGTTTTTTCCCTCCCAAAACCTTGGGAAGTTTAATATGTAAATTATGGTTTATTTTGTTGCTTCCTGTTAATCTAAATATTTCATTATGAAAATGATTTATTTCAGTCTTTCATGCTTCTAGATATATTTTAATCTCATAGATTTGAATTTTCTGTGTTTACCGTTGATACTCTTTTTCAGTTGTTTCTGTTGACTTTCAGTTTTCATCTTAGGAGCTATTTAGAAATCAGTGAAAAATACTTAGAATTTTAATTCTGAGCTTTAGTGTGATATCAGGGAAGTCTTTTAAAATTAGAGAACATTATAATTAGGAAAGTTAATACTTTACCTTTTAAGAAGATTTTTGGTTTTTCTTAGGATAGGTAGTGAGTACCATGGATTTTACATATAACACTTAGGACTGGTTTTCCGTCTCCTTCATGACCGTGGAATTCCTTTTTTTGTTCTTTTTTTTTTTTCCCTCCCTTCCTGCAGGTGCCATTCACTGTCCCTACTCTGTTGTACTCAGAATATGAGGGCAGGAGACCTGCCTAAAATCAGAATTCTTTTGGGGATAGGAAGGATCAAATATTATTTGCCCATTATACTTTTTATGCATATAAGGCAATCTCATTTTAAGAAGCAGTTTTTAAACAAGGTTGACTTGAGAAAATCAGTATGTAATACTTTACTTGGAGATATTTGTGTTGATTTGAATTATTTCTTGTAAATTATATATAAATAATATTTCAAAATCAAATGATTTTGTTTTTTAAAGGGGTCCTGTTGTGAGTTATTTTATAAAGTGAAGCTATTCCCTTTTTGTTTCTATGCAAATTTTTACTTGCTGGATTTGCATGTTTCACACATATAGTCATGCGCTGCATAATGACATTTTGGTCAACGATGGACTGCATGTATGATGGTGGCCTCGTAAAATTGTAATACTGTATTTTTACTATACCTTTTCTATGTTTAGATACACAAATATGACTGTGCTACAATTGCCTACAGTATTCAGTATAGTCGCATGCTGTCCAGGTTGATAGCCTAGGAGTAATAGACTTTACCATATAGCCTAGGTATGTCATAGGCTATACCATCTAGGTTTGTGCAGGTATACTCGTATGATGTTCACACAATGACAAAATTGCCTAACTGCACATTTCTTAGAATGTATCCCTGTTGTTAAGCAACACATGACTGTATTTGTAATTCTTTTCTTTAAAGAACATTTTGAGAGAATGCCAAAAAAGGGTCCTGGCCCATCATGTTGGAATCTTAACATTTTCTTCTGTTTTCTCTAGCTCTTTGTGCTATGGAAGTGCTTCCTCTTGCACTACCTTCTCCACCTCGTCAATTGTCAGAATCAGAAAAAAATCGAATGGAGGACCAGGAGGAAAATACTTTAAGAGAATTGCGGTTGTTTCTCAGGGATGTAACCAAGAGGCTGGCCACAGATAAACGCTTTAACATCTTCAGCAAACCGGTGGATATTGAAGAGGTCTTGTTTCAGTAGTGTGCAAACAGTGAAGTTGAACTGGCTAAAAGAAAAAAATATTGACATCTTTTTTTGGAAGGAAAAAAAAGCAAAGGCATGGATGAATATTACCCCTAGCCTATAAAATTTTAATCCATGTGATAACTACCTATGTCATCAGCAAATATCTGGTGACTTTTGGATGAAATTAGCAACCAATTTATATATGTCCTCTTAATTATTATTAATCTTTGTGGTCTCTTACTCTTCGATTTAAGAAGAGGATTAAAAGTTGCCTTAGTCAAATATCCGTACTAGACTATTTTTATTCCAGGATAAATTCTGCTCTCAAAGAGTATATTGGTGTTAACCAATCAATACCAGTTAATACTGGCATTTCCCAAATTATGTTTACCTCATCAAAAGAGGTAGCTAAAAACCTGAAGTTTCTTTGTCTTTCATATTTTGGAAATGCCTGTGGCTGGAATGCTGTTTGAAGTTAAAACATCCTGTGCAACTAAATTATTTTTCTTTCTAAGGGTTTTCTCTGCTCCCAGTGGAAAATTTCTCACTTTATATGTGTATTATTTTGTGTGCTTGTGGGAGCATGGTTTGTGATGATGAGAAAAGAAATTTTCCATTTGGGAATCCAATACTGTCAACTACATTTTTGGTTTTTGTTTTATCCTGGGATAATGTAGTGTGTGGATGAACACAGTGTAATCTTTACTGGCCTCCTTCTTATAGTTCAGACTCCATGTTTGAACAGCTTTGGTGTTTTTAGTTTTTTATTCATTTCTTTTTTAAAAAAAATAATTGAATTATGAGTGATTCAGAATTTAATGTTGTATCCTAATTGTGAAATCTGTGCTTTTGGACCTGAGCGGATTCCTTTGAAACCATTACCTCATCTGTTGCTGGGAAGAATGAGCTAGCGTTTACATTCCTCCCGCCCCCGGCAAGTCTGAAAATAAATACTTTCCCCCCTTTTTGGAATAAAGAGACTGATTTTATTTGTACCTTTATCCACAATACACTGTTTTTTCCATTTGGTCCTCTTATCAACCTTGTAGGATCATTATTATTATTCTTACTTTGCAGCTGAGGAAACAGACTTGTTGGCAAGTGACATAGCCAAGACTTGAAAGTTTTCTAAAATTCAAAGCCCACGTTCATTATCATAGCTACTTTATATCTTTCCAACAGGATAACAGGACATGCCTAATTTGCTTTTTTAATTAATAAATATCCGTTTATATTTGTGGGAATTTCCCCCCCCCATAGTGTTTTTAGATAATCTTAAAACTATCAGCTGATTAAAAAATTATTTTAAATAAATGTGATATGTGTGCGTGCCCTTCCTTCCACTCCCCTATTTGGTATATTTGGACTCTTAACACTTCTTAAAGGCTAAGGGCTTGCCCCCAACTCAGCCTCCCATGCTGGGAGTAAACCAGTTTTGCTTTTGCTCAGGAAAAGTCTTTTCTTTCCAATCAGAAAAGATTTGTCAGATTTTCAAATGCCATCTGTAATAGTTTTATAAATGATGGTAAGGTAGTACAAAGGGACAGAAAATGTTGGTCAGATAAATATTTTATTTAGACTTATGTTTCTCTTGTTTTCTCCTTCGTTTTTCTTCTCAGGTTCATTCAGCTCTTAAGCTGAAAACATAGGAGTCTCTGGGAAGGATCGAGAGGGGGAAATAAGATAACCTAAAACTAAAGTTTTTATTTAACTAATGAATTTAAAGTGTCTGAAAACTTTATCAAATTCCAAAGCAGACTGCAGAGAAAACAAAACTTTAGAAAACAAATGTTAAGGCCGGGCGCGGTGGCTCAAGCCTGTAATCCCAGCACTTTGGGAGGCCGAGACGGGCGGATCACGAGGTCAGGAGATCGAGACCAACCTGGCTAACACGGTGAAACCCTGTCTCTACTAAAAAATACAAAAAATTAGCCGGGCGTGGTGGCGGGCGCCTGTAGTCCCAGTCACTTAGGAGGCTGAGGCAGGAGAATGGCATAAACCCGGGAGGCAGAGGTTGCAGTGAGCTGAGATCCGGCCATTGCACTCCAGCCCGGGCGACAGAGCAAGACTCCGTCTCAAAAAAAAAAAAAAAAAAGAAAACAAATGTTAAATTTAAAATTAAGCATAGGGTGGTAACATTTATAGTCTTTAATAATATACATTTTAGAGTACTTTTTAGTTTATAAAACAGTTTCCACTTGTACACAGGCATTTGTGTCAAATACCAGAACTAGGAATCCAGCTAATATCTTCTGAGGTAGTTTGTTTCAGTATAACTCTGCTACTTCTCTTATAGGGAGATTGACTGGTTTTTCAGCTCCTAAAAGGTGAAAAATGAATTAAAACACACATACACTTCTACTTAATATTTTTTATAAGTAATCCTAAACATTAAAAAACATATAAATTATGTATATGTGCGTGCGTGTGTGTGAATATGTAAATTTAAAAATAATGGTATAGATGCCCTCTGAAACTGTGAGAAAACTAACCCTACGATCATAGAGTAGAACTTAACCATCTCCCTAGAAATCTTTCCTGGACTAATTTTAGACATTACTGCTAAGACTGCTTTTATAGCAAACCTATTTACTTGATTTGAGATTTGCATTGGGGGAGGCAGTAGATACATAAGTTGCTAGCACTTTCTTATTGGTCGGGGATACACAATTTATTGGGCAAATCAAGACTTAATATCTCTTGTTTAGGGTTATCTCACAGAAAATCAGCACAGAAAGCAGCATGTTTGTTTTTGTTTGTTTGTTTGTAGATTTCTTTATACCTAGGGACAAATCCAGCAAATCTCATACTGGTTAGGAAAACTATACTTAATTTTCTTATGTAATTGACTCTAAATGTTTGTGATGACTCCAAAGGAGTGGAAAATACTTTCCATGAAATAGTTCACTCTAGAAAACTGAAAAAGAAAATTTTTGTTGAAAATTTAAAGAGATTTATCAGAATAACTTATCTCATAGTATGAAAAGTCTTTGCTTTTTATTTTCCTTTTCTTTTTCTTGAAATCACATTTATTGATGCTCATTGGGTATTTTTGTCCATACATTCTCTTCTCAGATATGCCCAAAGGGTTAAAAAAAAAAAAAAACAGACATAGTTTCAAATTTTAAGAACAGAAACATTTCAGAGTTGATTTAGGTATGACTTGGAAACTGAAGCTTTCATGGAAAGTATGGCAGATAGTAACTTTGGTAGCATAAACAGCCACTGCAGTTTTATCTTTATAAATTATTTATTTGATATTTAGATTTAATTTTTAAAGAACTTTGTTTTTATTTTGTGTTTTTACGAACTGAGATGATATGAAAAACCAGAACTAATCTTTATTAAAATATCTTATTTGTTTTAGGTTTCAGATTATCTTGAAGTAATCAAGGAACCAATGGACTTATCAACAGTAATAACTAAAATTGATAAACATAATTACCTAACTGCAAAGGATTTCCTGAAAGATATTGACCTCATCTGTAGCAATGCTTTAGAGTATAATCCAGACAAGGACCCAGGAGGTAAGGATGCATAGGGCAAGGTTTCCCTTGAAAATCAGTCAGAAGGCAGTTTACCGTTTAAATACTAACTCATGCCTGTGTTCTAGATAGATTAATTTTCACGACCTGTTGTTTTTCAAAACTTGTTAATAAGAAACTCATAGTCTACATAAAAATAATGTGTTTAAAGTAGAGAATTGTATGGTTATAGATATTATTTTCAGGGGTTTCTTCATTTACGTTCTACTTTTTATATTTACATTGTGATTTGCGAATTTAATTGAAAATTTATTAGTCAACAATCACAGTGCTGGTAAACACTGGGAATTTCGAATTCATGGAAATCCATGATAGGATAAGTTTATGTGTCAAAAGATCCTTTTATGTAGAATGTTATCTGTTCTTTTGATTATTGGTATTTTTATGTAATTATTTTATTCCTAATCCATCCTGTATTCAAGTGTATAGTCCCAGCTTTTGTTATCTGGTTGATAACAGATATATCCTGGAAGACCACCAGGAGTATATCTGCAGTGAAACAAGATGAGGTGATTTATTATACTGAGGGAGAATATGTGTCATAGGGAACCATACAAGATTTGGGCTTGTGTTAAGTGATTTTGGTTAGAGTATAAGGAAGTGGGGCTTTGCAGTGGATTAGATGCTATTGGAAAGTAGGAATAATTTTAAGAACCTAGAAGGCAAGAAAATGGAGCAACGCTAAAGCTATGATTGATAAACAGCAGTTGGCTGGGTGTGGTGGCTCATGCCTGTAATCCCAGCACTTTGGGAGACTGGGGCGAGTAGATCACTTGAGCTCAGGAGTTTGCAGGCCAGCCTGAGTAACATGGCAAAACCCCGTCTCTACAAAAAATTACAAAAATCAGCTGTGTGTGGTGGTTGCACACCTGTAGTCCTAGCTACTTGAGAGACTGAGATGGGAGGATCACTTGAGCCCTGGAGGTTGAGGCTGCAGTGAGCTATGATCATGCCACTGTACTCCAGCCTGGGAAACAGAGTGATAGCCTTTCTCAAAATAAAAAGGAAATAAAAGGAAAAAAAAGAAAAAAGAAAAAAAAAAGAAAGAAAGAAACAGCAGTCATTCATATTAGTCAGGATTGTGTTTGGTCATTGGCTATTATTATTTATTTTTACTTTTTTGAGATGGAATCTCCCTCTGTTGCCCAGGTTGGAGTACAGTGGCATGATCTCTGCTTCCTGCAACCTCCACCTCCTGGGTTCAAGTGATTCTCCTAGCTCAGCCTCCCGAGTAGCTGGGATTACAGGTGCCTGCCACTGTATCCAGCTAATTTTTTGTGTTTTTAGTAGACACGGGGTTTCACCATGTTGGCCAGGCTGGTCTCAAACTTGTAATCTCAAGTGGTCTACCTGCCTCAGTCTCTCAAAGTGCTGGGATTACAGGCCTGGGCCACCACGCCCAGCCTGATTATTGTTTTTTTTGGTGGTCAGGACAATGTTCATGTTTTGCCTGTGTTTAGACATGATTAGACAGAGTGGTCTAATTTTTCTCTTGACCCGTCATGGGCACAGGGTGGCCTTGTCTGATATTAGTGTTCTGTGAAATTGTTTATGTTTAATTGTAGTACCCTGAGGCGTAGCTGGTAGTGCCAGGCCAACTCCTGGCTATCAGGAGCCACTTTTTGCTTTTTTTACTCTATTGAGAATTCTATTTATTTGATAAGTAATACTAAAAATAAAATGCTTCTTGTTTTTAAAACATTCATTTAAGTTTTTGTTATCTAAAGATAGTTAGAATATAATTTTTGCTTTGTTTTGTTTTTTGTTTGAGACAGAGTCTCATTGTGTCACCCAGGCTGGAGTGCAGTGGCGTGATAGCAGCTCAGTGTAACCTCCGCCTCCTGGATTCAAGTGATTCTCGTGCCTCACCCTCCCAAGTAGCTGGGACTACAGGCACGTGCCACTACATCCAGCTAATTTTTGTATTTTTAGTAGAGATGGGATTTTGTCATGTTGGCCAGGCTGGTCTTGAAGTCCTGACCCCAGGTAATCTGCCCCTCTCGACCTCCCAGAGTGCTGGAATTATAGGTGTGAGCTACGGCGCCTGGCCTGTGCTTTGTTTTGTATCTGTATTTTGAGGCAGAGCTTCTCAACCCAGGCCATATGGTAAAATGACTTAGATTTCTCAGTTTCACATGAAATTAGGTATTTTTTGCTTCAGTTTCAACCATAATATATCACAGATTCTATAATGGGAAAAACTGCAATTACTTTTGCACCAATCCAGTAATTTCCAAGTTAGGTGGCAGAATAAAATTTTGTGTGGCTGGACTTTGTATGTAACAGTTTTTCAGCTTTATGTTATTTACCTCTTGTAGTTTTTGTTGTTTGTTTGCTTTACCTGTTTTTGAGTTATTTTATATAACACACACACACACACACACACACACACACACTTTTTATTTGGACACAGCATCTTGTTCTGTTGCTCAGGCTGGAATGCAGCTGTGTGACCTCAGCTTACTGCAACCTCTGCTTCCTGGGCTTGAGCGATCCTCCCACCTTAGCCTCTCAGTAGCTGGGTAATACAGGCACACACCACCACACCTGGCTAATTTTTGTATTTTTGTTTGTAGAGAAGAGGTCTTGCCATGTTGCCCAGGCTGGTCTCAAACTCCTGGGTTCAAGTGATCTGCCCACCTCGGCCTCCCGAAGTGCTGGTATTACCCATGTGAGCCAGTGCACCCGGCTTATATATATCTTATAGAAAAATATATGAAAGTAGAACAAAGAAGAACATTAAAAACGTATAATTCCATCACTTAGTGTTTTTTCTCTGTTTCCTTCCCCATCCACGGATATACTGCATGTAGAATATATACATGCATCTTAGTTTTACTAAAATGACTAGGATTTTTGTAAATTTTATCATTCCCATAATATTTTGTGAAAAGCTTATTAGTTAATGAATGTATTTCTCCAACATTATTTTAATTGTATTAGATCTCATATAACAGCTAATACCCTATTGTTGGGCATATTAGATTTTTTAGTTTTTTCCTCTTTTATAAACACTGATAAATATCTTTGTAATGCAAATTTTGTGTTGATTCTTAATTATTTCCTTAGAATAAGTTCCTTAAAGTGAAATTTCTGGATCAAAGAATATATATCTTTTAAGGCTTTTAATCTGTACTATTAAAATTTTCTCTAAAAATTAAAAAAAATTATACCAGCAGCAGACTGGGTGCGGTGGCTCACACCTGTAATCCCAGCACTTTGGGAGGCCCAGGCAGGCAGATCACGAGGTCAGGAGATCGAGACCATCCTGGCTAACACTGTGAAACCACACCTCTACTAAAAATGCAAAAAATTAGCTGGGCGTGGTGGTGGGTACCTGTAGTCACAGCTACTCGGGAGGCTGAGGCAGGAGAATAGCATGAACCTGGGAGGCGGAGCTTGCAGTGAGCTGAGATTGCGCCACTGCACTCTGGCCTGGGCGACAGAGCGAGACTCTGTCTCCAAAAAAAAAAAAAAAAATTATACCAACAGCATCAGGGCCACTGTAAGCCAATGTAGCAATTTTTGGTAAGTGAGAGAACCTCATTCTTCAGTTGGATGCCATCCTGTAACAGGATGGATAGTGAAGCATGGGCTGGATGTCAGCCCCATTTCACTCCCTTCCCTTGCTGGGGTCCTTTGTGAGGGTACAGCCCGCACAACTGTCTATGTAGTGGCTTTGGGCAGTGTGTACCTACACCTTCAGCCTGGTTTTCAAGACATAGAGACTGCTGTTATTGTGTAATATGTAATGAGAATGTGGGCTTTGGATTCAGACCTAGGTTTTAGTCCCATTTCTCCTATTTCCTAGCTCTTTAACTTTGATCAAGTTAAGCCCTCTAAATTTTAGTTTCCTCATCTGTAAAATGGGGATGATAACAACATTCTTTAATTGGGGTAGTTGTAAGAATTAAATGAGAAAGTGTATTAGGTTGAACCTTACGAAATTGCTGTTTTCATATGGTTCATCCTAAATATCTTAAGCCTTGAGTGGGGTAGCTGGGACATGGTAAGAGTTCCATAAAGGTTAGTTGTTGATGTTTGTATTCTTATGATCATAATTATTTAAATTGTGCTTTAATTTTTTTATAAGTTGATTTCTTAGCAGGTACCTGCGTATTTGCTCTAGAATGACCCTCTATACTTTGTCCTTATTACATTCCCTGGACCATACTTTAAATTTAGTTCATTTTGAAACAAATCTAAGAGCTGGTAGTGAAAATGAATTTAAGTGCTTAGAAAAAGCCAGTTGAGAAGATCAATCCATATTTTCCCCCCCTAAGTAATTAGTTATAACCTTGTTGATATTAATATTTTAAGGAAGAAGTAATGGTTTCTGGTGCATAATAACATTTTGCTACAAAATGCAGTTCCACAATGAAAGAATATGGCTCTGTCTCACAGAGTTAACACGGTACACTTGTAACTTTCTTCCTTCACTTGTTCTGATATAAAAAGTGGTATAGTTCAAAGGTATTATTTTGGCTGTGTTTGGATTTTTTTCATATCTTTCATCAAGCAACCTCTTTTTTTTTTTTCTTAGCAACAGAACCACTTGTTATATTCCAGAAAAACATCCTCAGGGTGTGTTGTGTAGCAAGTGGAAATTACATGAATGTTGTATTACGTTTACAAGTTCCCATGAGTATTTGGAAGCTTATAGTGTTCTCTTTTGCAGAACACTTGGCCATTTGGGGGAAAAACTAACATATACATAGAAGACAGAAGCCAACATTTTGAAAGATATACATGTTGCCTAACTGTTGACCCAGATTCTCTCCCTTGAGGATGATGGGAACAGAAATTAAATGATGGGAACAAGGAGAAATTGACCTGTGTTCTAAATGTGACCAGTATCAGATATTTGGCCCTAATTACTACACTATAGATACATGATATATTATGTTTGGCTCATCCCCGTTTTTGGTCTTGCAGTGCACTCCTCCTGTATTCCCCAGGCCTGTTCATATGCTACATACCAT